GCTCAAGCTAGTGTGCGTATATATTACTAAACCAGGAAATAAACACTAATTCCAGAAGACTTCACACCCACATTCTAAAATCTAATTAGATTAATTTCCCAGGGCATTCAAGTATTCTTGGTAGCTTGCAATTTTTAAGTGTCAAAATAAAGCCTTATTTTTAAACGTGGGCGGTGTTGACGAAACAAGTATGAGTAATACTTGCAGGAAACACAATATTAGCTTTAGCCAGGGAGTGAGTGATACTTGAATAGTCCTTCAAAGAAGCACTTTTCATGTCGCAGGAATGTAAAGCAAGAGTTATAATGTGGTCACCCGGTAAGCACAGACACTTACAAAACTGCCTTATGGTGCTTGAAATATAGCTTTCCCTACCCAAATGGCAATTTAAAGAAATGTTCAGGATTAGCTCTAAAGTATATAGTGAAGGCAACGGGCTGATATGTAAATATCAACCACACAGTCGCCAGACCTCCCAGGTTAGGTTTAATATTCACTAACCAGAAAAGACTGTGCGAAGCTTGTTTCAATGGCGAGGGAGGGATGACAGAATTAAACTTGATTTAATCTATCTTCCGAGGAGGCTCTTTTGCTCCATTCACCAGAGTTCCAGGAGTAACTATCTCCCCTGTTGGTCTTGCTGTGTTGATCCCAAACACATCTCTGAAGTGTTAAAAATAAAGAGCAGAGAGAGCTATGAACGGCTGTCAGTACTGCACACTGTTCAGTGCTCTGCAGCAAGAAGATGTAATAAGAGGTAATTCTTCCAAACCCGAAACTATTCATAGTCCATTACTTCAAGATTAAAAAATAATCAGTTACAAGTTTTAACACATTCTTCTATAAACACACACATACATATCAGGCTTTAGCAGCATGATCAACAGCAAAGAAATAAGTCTTCAAGCGTGACTCTAACGGTGTAAAGGGGGCCTAGACGTGAATATTCGTGGGCAGGGGTCTATGGGAAATCTCTGTACCTTCCACTCAATTTGTTCTGAAACTAAAACCCCTCTGAGTAAATAAAGCCTATTGAAGGGAAGGTGCCTAGAATTACACAAAATGTTTACAACCCCCAAAGTGCAGAAGGTGTTAGAACTGTTCCCCCATTACTTTAAAAAAGCAAATGTTAAAACAAAAGGAGGAAAAAGGGATTCATTCATTTATTCAATAAATATTTATCAAACTCCTACTATATGAGTCAGGCATTGTTCCCAGTTTAGTAGTGGGAGACTGCTGCCTCTGAAAAGTGCACACCACAATCAGTCACCATAGTCAACACATTGCTGAATGCGCATTGTATGCCTGACATTGTCCTAAAAGCACAGGTTAAAAAAAATTACATACAATCAACACAGGTGCTTTCTTACTATGTGAACCAATATGTCTTATTCAGGTCTCTCTGTTCACTTTCTTGCTTTTACTACTTTGGGCTCCTTCATTTCTTATTAGCACCAAAATAAAGAAATTAAGATGGCAGAGGCCCTGACCAGGTAGCTTAGTTGGTTAGAGCATTGTCCCAATATGCCAAGGTTGCAGGTTCGATTCCCAGTCAGGGCACATACAAGAATCAACCAATGAATGCAGAAATAAGTGGGACAACAAGTTGATGTCTCTCTCTCTCTCTCACAAGTCAATAAATAAAAATGTTTTAAAAAGAGGGTGGAGAGGGCAGTAGGAGATAAAAGTAACTTCTGTCACCAAGTAATTTGCTAGCTGCAAAGAGTAGAATAATTATGAGGAAAGCTAAAATTTCCAACAGATTTATTCACACTTCACATTAATGATTAAGCCAGTAAAAGTTGAACTGACACTTCCATAACTTGTCACTTCTTTCGAATAAGCAGGTAAGAAAAACAACAACATTAAAATGTAAGAAATTGTTGCTTTGCCATTTCTCCAATGACCAGTCACAACGTCATTAAGTCAGTACAACCTATTTATCCTACTATCTTACTTTTTAAACAAAGTCTTGAGTACATTCATTTAGTTCTTACAAACGTAGATCCCTCTTTTGACGCTGATGTTGTAGGCTAGAGTTAAGACCTACTTTGCATGTGTGCACTGAAATAAGTGGCTAGCCTTCAATGTATATAATGTGGCTTAGATTCAGATAGGTAACTTGCACATAGTAGCTGTTCAATAAAAATTTTTAAACTTTGATGCAAAGGCATTGTTATGAAGAGCTGTACAGAAACCATGCTACTGTGACCTAATCCCCTTAAAGCAGCCACTTACACTTTGACCTGATACAAAATAGCCCCAACTGACAAACTAAGCTAATAAAGTTATTACAAATTATGGGTTTTGAGTTCATTTTTATAGTTGTATGATAACTTCCTGACATATCATGATTCTAAACATTTCCTAGAATATGAAAGTTTACTCCTATATCAGTGTTAGAGAGAGAAAGAGAGAGAGAGCGAGTGAGCAGAGGTTTTATTCCCTCTACAAAGCAGGATGTGGCTAAAGAGTAAGCCTTTCATGTGAAGTGCACATTCGAAACCTGCCGTTTTTAAAAGCCTATGTGGACTTGGACTCAAGTCCTAAAATGTGTGCGCACCTGGTGGAATTTGTGAAGATCTATGCAAGCTGCAACCACCTGTTCCAAATAACTCACGGCCACCCAAACCAGGGCTCTGCCTCCCCAGAAGCACAATTCTGCCAAGTCAGGCTCAAGCGCCCCATCATTATCTCATTACACATGTGCACAATCCCGAAGCCGCCATTCAAGGAAAACCCTCAATCACTGCCCTGGGCTGGGCCACCAACACGGCCCAACACACCGCACGGCCCCGAGTCTCTCACCACCGGAGAACTGGAGCTTGTCTCTCAGAACCCTTCATTATTCCATTTTACAAAACCACTCAAATACTAATAAAATAAGGCGACTGAAAATAGACGTTTTGTTGCCCTCATACTTCCTGGCACTTCATCTTAAAGCTCAGACTTCTGCACGCTTCTTATTAGTGCCAACAAGTGAGTTCTTTCCTTTTTCTCCATTGAACGCTAAGCCACTCCAGAGCAAAGGCCAATATTCTAGGGCAGTGGTCGGCAAACTGCGGCTCGAGAGCCACGTGCGGCTCTTTGGCCCCCTGCCTGTGGCTCTTCCACAAAATACCACATGCGGGCCCGCACGTACAGTGCGATTGAAACTTCGTGGCCCATGCGCAGAAGTCGGTTTTCGGCCTGGGCGAGTCTATTTGAAGAAGTACTGTTGATATTTGGCTCTGTTG